TAAGACGAGTTCGTGCTTCAAATTTTCCAAGTAAACGATATGACGATTTTTAAAATTTGCTACACTGATTTTATAAAGTTGTCGTTTGCCGCAAAACATAAAGATATGGCATAGTACAGTGCCATCAGCCCATTTCTAGCATGCTGAATGTTATCGTATTTTGAGTACGTGTTTTTCTTAGACTATTACAATCTATTTTAATTGTTTTGCTGACTCTAAAGTCCGTAACACACTACCGCAGCGCACCTCAAGGAAGGTGCACCGCACTACCGCACCGCACGCAAATTTTAAACTTATCAAGGGACCGCCTGATAAAAAAAAACACCTACAGAACATTTATTCGTTAATGAAATTACAAACGTCATTCCTTGTGACTTCCTCTCTAAAATCACTTAATTAATAAATATTTAACGAATTTACAATAGTGTTTTACTCACTGCGGAATAAAACTATTTTATTTAAATAGTTCCGAAGAGATTTTGTCGGTAGCCTTTTTCCCGAAATATCTAAACAGAATGTCTAAATATGTTTTGATGACATATTTTAAAGAGGTATTTATGATTAGTGTCATGATGAATAGATTCCGACCGAAAAATGGTGTCCGATATTTCGGATTCAAATATATTAAGTGTATAATCTATGTTTCGGATGAGGGCTCCATAATGAATTTAAATATATATAGATAATAGTTTTGGGGCATCGACTTTCTTGAGATCCTATAAAATATGTTTTAATTATTATTTTTGTATGTTTTAAGCATGATAAAATAAGAAATTTTATATAAGCAATCATATTAAATCGATATCAAAGTCAATAAATAATGTACAACCCAAAACAGACGGCCGAACTGACGTGACAATGACATTTGGCGCGCTAAACATGGCGGATTTTCGGCCTCATTAGACGGAGACGGAGATATTTACGTATATTCATGTTTCATTTTATGTACGCACTGAAATACTGTTATATTGTTTTCCTGCGAGTTAAAGTGCTGAGTAAGAACGAGATAGATATATGTTTATGTGTGTGCCTTCAAAATGGGTGCTATTTATATAAGCAATTGTACGTATAGAACAATATGTCGTGTCCCTACTATATAGGTCTATGACACGAGCCCCGTGTGCCCTTATGGTAAAGACGGTATTGACTATACACATATCCACAATAGTTACGGTACGGTACTGCCACTGAAGTAGAAAACCTATGGAAATGAAACGTCAACAAAAATTTGTGCCACTGTGACGTCATCTGACCACAAAACATGGCGATTTTAGTGCTGTACAAAAGATTTCCATGTTATCAGGTTTTATCGATAAACGTTCTTGGCTCATTTTATTTTAAATATTGTTGAGTATTATTTATTTGTAGAATTTATACTATATGGGAAGTAAGTAGGTATATTGTTATGTGCAAATATGATATGATTTAGATGTGTGAAATCTAAGACAAGTTCGTCCTTCGGATTTGCCAAGTAAACGATATGATGATTTTTAAAAGATGCTACACTGATTTTATAAAGTTGTCGTTTGTCGCAAAACATAAAGATATGGCGTAGTACAGTGCCATCTGCCCATTTCTAGCATGCTAAATGTTATCGTATTTTGAGTACGTGTTTTTCTTAGACTATTACAATCTATTTTAATTGTTTTGTTAACGCTAAACTCTAAAGTCCGTAACACACTACCGCAGCCCACCTCAAGGAAGGTGCGCCGCACCATTTGAATCACTTTCACTTGAGAGTGATTCAAATTTTAAACTTATCAAGGGACCGCGTGAAAAAAAAACACCTACAGAACATTTATTCATTAATTACAAACGTCATTCTTTGTGACTTCCTCTCTAAAATCACTTAATTATTAAATATTTAACGAATTTACAATAGTGTTTTACTCACTGCGAAATAAAACTATTTTATTTAAATAGTTCCGAAGAGATTTTGTCGGTAGCCTTTTTCCCGAAATATCTAAACAGAATGTCTAAATATGTTTTGATGACATATTTTAAAGAGGTATTTATGATTAGTGTCATGATCAATAGATTCCGACCGAAAAATGGTGTCCGATTTTTCGAATGAGGGCTCCATAATGAAATATATACAACATGTAACATATTTAACGCACACCCTCAAACACCCCAATTAGACTTTAATAGTATAAACGCTATGCACACACCAAATATTATTTATATGTGCGTTAACATTGATTATTTGTGAAATTAGTTATTCCCATTTCGTGGAAATAAAATGGTCACCGATTCACACTCCGCTGCGCACGCACACACAGACACATGTACCTACTCGCCGCGCCCCTTGTTCAATGCACTTTAATGACCGTTTTCGTATTTGTTGTTTTATTTTAGATAATACTGCAATGTCACTTTTCACTTTTTCAAAGGCGGTTATTATCTTATTCTTTAGTTCTTCGGCACTTATTGTCTGTGTGTTATAAACCAGCGATTTAATTCGCCCCCACAAAAAAAAGTCGAGAGGCGTCAAATCAGCTGATCTAGGAGGCCACTGACCGAAAAGACATAGCGAAATACGGGAGATATTTTATTTGCACTATCACTTGACCTCTTATCGATAAGGTGGAGGCGGCGTGACTGACTTGTCAAAAATATTTTGTTGACTTCGTTGCTTAGATTTTTCTTTGATCACCGCCGACGCAACCGCGTCGCCGCGAACATCGGGATTAGCCTGCCGTCTATTGTAAGAATATTAAGCCGACGAAAGAAAGGGATAGTAATTATTTTTGTATTACGTGGTTTTATTTTATGGATTGTAGTGTTGCTGTGTGCCGGCGGTTGCTGTTGGTATTGTGTGCGTAGGTATTTTATTTTGTAATAGACTATTAGCCTTGAAATAAGTATCAGATTTCTTTAATTAAATAATATATTTTTTTACTGATTACATATTTCATTTTAAAAAGTCTTAATACCCTGACTTACGTTCCATTTTCGTTTCTATGAACTGTTTAGCTAGCTGTGTAGGGTGACTGTAATTTACTTAGTTTTAACTAAATTTTAGAAAAAAAATTTGGTACATAAAAAACAATCAAAATCGATCCAGATTCCGATTCTGAACAAATTACTTTCAGAGTGTGCGTTAATTATGTTACATGTTGTATAGATAATAGTTTTGGGACATCGACTTTCTTGAGATCCTATAAAATACGTTTTAATTATTATTTTTGTATGTTTTAAGCATGATAAATTATGAAATTTTATATAAGAAATCATATTAAATCGATATCAAAGTCAATAAATAATGTACAACCCAAAACAGACGGCCGAACTGACGTGACAATGACATTTGGTGCACTCAGCATGGCGGATTTTCGGCCTCATTAGACGGAGACGGAGATATTTACGTATATTCATGTTTCATTTTATGTACGCACTGAAATACTGTTATATTGTTTTTGTGTTAAAATTTTTTTTTCAACAACTCGAATTTGAGCCATGCTACGCGATGCCAGAGCTTTACTATTTGATATAAAAACCAAACCACAAAAGTCCTATTTAATAGACCAATTATATAATTCCCACGGCTTCGCGTAATACTTTTTTTTTCATTCATATATAATAATATAATCAAGCAAAGGAATATTTTAATTACCTAAATATTGTTTGTAAGGAAAAACAGCAAGGAGGATTATGACGGCGACGATCATGAGATTGCTTGAGCAGTGGGATGAGTGGAATCAGCGAACGTGATGCTTTGGGTTAAAAAAAACTGACATAGATGCACAATTTGTCGAGAAGGACACAAATTGTAAAGACTGCACCAGCAAGCCAACAACAAAAACATATCAAAGAAATGTATATCTTTTGCAAATGTAATTCAGAATGATAATTAATCCTTCCCATTACTAAAATAAATATTTTTTTACCGGGACCTCAGTCTCATGCGCGTGGATAAAGCCCCTCGCGCTCTTACCCGCAGAGGTATGAAATTAAATTTAGGGGATGATTGACCCCTTGAATCGGTCTGTCTTTTTGTAAGAGGTTTTAAAATAGTTGTCTGGTGGACATATATAAAAATTAGCTTTCAGAATTTAAGTGAAGTTAGGTCATTATTTTGGGAGCTTTAAAGCGTCTGCAAAGCAATTCGGCCGACGGAAAGTGTCTGGGAGTATTGGCGACTTATTTTTAAGGATATTGCCTAAAATATAAAAATCAGCTTTCAGAAAAAACGTGAAGTAGGTCGTGATTTTATGTACCTTGAGTACCTGATACTTGAAAATTGGCCGTCTGAGGAGCAGGTAGCAGGTAGGCATGCGTTCTTAGTACATACTGACACTACGCAATCGGCTACATTTCTTTCGTCAGAAAAAACGTGACGTCTGGGGGCCCTGGGATCTTGCTCTAATAAGGTTGAGTCGAGTCGAGTTAAGCTCGTGAGAACGACTAAAGATACGGGGGTTAATTGCAACGTCACTAAGTTCACTGGCCAACACTAGTCTGTCGATCAAAATTTTTTGACAATCGAAGATCTCAATTAAATTAAGTGTATAATCTATGTATGAAGTGTTTAATCTATGATCGACTTTTTGGCGGGAACGCGAGGAGTGAAGTTGTGTGATTTGTTTTATTTTGTCTATTTAGTGTTTCTTCAGGTTTAAATGTGTAATAACGGTGGTTTATTAACTGTTTAATATCTGTGAAAGTGCACAAATGTGGGAAAATGAAACAAAGCTGCTGGACGTAACTTCTCGGGTTCCTCCAAAAAGTCCACTGAAAAAATCTCAGTAAATGACCACCATTTTACTGCGATTATATCTCATCCCATATCATCTCATTTCATTAAATTTCATCCCAGTTGATTAATGTTTCAAATTAATCATCTTCATTTCATTTCACTCCATATTATCATTTTTCATAAAATTAAGAATATAAAGTAAAATAAGACATGACTTAAAGGTCTTAGTTACCAGGTCATAAAATCTCTTAAAAAAAAAACTATGATCGAAGATAATGTGCTCAATTGTGCTCCACAGTTCCATCACTTGAATTACAATGTGAACAGGTTTTATTCGCAATAATGCCGAGACGAGCAAGGTGTTACGGTGCAGTATTATGACCAAAACGCAGTCTATTTATGATAGTAATAAAGTCTGAGTAGCATCTTGCATACGATGAAACCAAGGTCTTGCAGGTAAGCTTTCTTGTATGCTTCCATACCATTTTCCTTTCGTATCTTGATCTTTCTTTTACATTTCTAACCACAATTTTTGAGTATTCTGGTCAATACATTGCAAATAATCGGACATAGGAACATTCATTGTATTTTTAACGTCAACAGCATTAACTCCTTCATATGCAGCTTTATCAGCCATTTCATTGCCAGAGGTACCTTTGTGGGAAGGCACCCATAAACAGAAAGTTTGGATATTTTTAATGTGGTATTGGTGAATTATTTGTTTAATGAAGTAAAGGATATAATTAGACTTGAATTTAACTGTAAGGGTAGTTAAAGCTGTTACCAAACTCAAGAAATCAGGAATTATTAAAAAATATTTAATGTTATTGAGTTCGTGAATACGAATTAATGCCTGATACACTGCATATGCCTCTGCCGTAAATATAGAGCAGGGTTCATGCAGAATAAAACTTGAAGAAAATTTTGCTTGTGGATCATATGGAAACTGTTTTCTAATTTAAAAAAAACTATTGTCTATTTCCAGAAATATAGCTGAAAGTGTTGGAGAATTACCGCATAGTAGATCTTGTGGTGTTGTTAATGTTTCTCTTGGGGATCTTTCTATATAAGGTACAATTTTGTTTATTACTTGAGTGTTGTTTGATGCTATTAGTTTGAGACAGTATCTTTCAGCAAGTAAGATTCGCCTAAAAATCAAAGGCAGTAATTTTATCTCAACTTTCACGGCCCTTATGGGAGTTGAGCACATAGCACCAGATATTATTCTTAAAGCCTTATTCTGCAATATGTCTTATTTATTTAGATGAGAACTATTCATATAAGCGAGTGAGCTATAGTCTAAGTAACCTCTTACAGTACTTTTATACAATACTAGCAGCTCGCTCCGGCTCCGCTCGGGTCCTTAACAAAAATTTCAAGGATATTTGACGTTATTTTATTTTAAAAAATAAAAGTAAACTTATTGTGGCATAACTATAATAGTTACACATATGCTGTCACAACACTTTTTGTAAGTAATAATGTGTAAAAAACAAAGTCGTAGTATTCTTTTATTCTATCATTAATAGTTTCCGCAGGGCACGCGATGTAAAGAAATTTTAGGTATTTTTTTTACACCATGAGTTACATTATTGGAGTTTTAGTAAAGAACCCTAATTTTTTTCAAAAAAGATTATAGCCTATGTATGTCACTTGGAAATAGTGTAGCTTCCAAACAGTGAAAGAATTTTTGAAATTGTTTCAGTAGTTTCGGAGCCTATTCAATATAAACAAACAAACAAATCTTTCCTCTTTACAATATTAGTATAGATTGACAATATTTTAGGGTCTGCACCCCATGTTACACCACAAAGGAATCTGATAAAATTTAGTCCTTTTTGAACATTTTTGGATATATATTTAACATGTTCTTCAAAAGTTAGTTTTGGGTCCAGTATTATTCCTAAAAAAATCTTTGAAGCGACTCTATTTATAATTTTATTATTGTAAATAATATTTGAATTTGAGGCTTCATTGCCAAAAAACATAATACTACCTTTAGGGGTTAATTTTTAAATGTAAACGACCGTTATAATATTGTAATAGTTGAAATAAGGATTTGTTCATATTATCTATTGCAATCTCTAAGTTGTAATTACGGCTGTATAATACAATGTCATCAGCAAATTGTAAAATATTTACATTCCTATTATTGGCATATTTACAAATTTCACATGTGTATATATTACACAGTAATGGAGATAGTGTGGCACCCTGCATTGTGCCTCTTGAGGCATGTTTGGGTCCATATAAAATATTGTTATATCTAGCATAGATTGTTCTGTTGTTCAAAAAATTAAAAATACACTCACAAGTGCCCGGGCACACCGAACCTAAATATGATTTGAACTAGTATACCAGGATCAACACTGTCAATAGCACTTTGAACGTCTAGGAATACGCAAGCAGTGTTTAATTTTCTATGTTTTGCATTTTTCAGGTCAGAGATTAAAGAGGTGAAACTGTCTGCACTACTACGCCCTTATCAAATATTTTACCAAGACAGGATGACAAGGAAAGTGGTCTTTAAGAACTAGCAAACTCAGGAGAGTTGTTGGGCTTAAGTATTGGGACAACACACTGTTTTCCATGACTGTGGAATAGATTTATTACGCCAAAGCAAATTGAGAATGTTAAAAAACAACTTTTGGGCAGATACAACTAAGTTTTGAATTACAATGTAAGGATAATTATCTAAGCCAGGAGTTGTATTTCGTCTAGAGTGCAAACCTGTTAAAAATTCAGACCATGAAAATGGACCCAGTAAAAATTTAGAATTTCAGTTATCATTATTGATTTCAAAAGGAATGTTCAGTTGATCTACTTCAATTAAGTTGCTATTATCTGATAATTTATCCAAGAGTGGAGATATAAACTCATCTGTATATGATTTATTCTTAGGTCTTATGCCTTTGAACATCTATACATGTAAATAAAATTAGAGTGTCTGTTTGTAATATTGAAATAACCGCTTTTTACTACATGCATATGAATATATATACGGTAAATAAATACACCAAAATAACATTTTTTACAATTTTTGTCTGTCTGTTTGTTCCGGCTAATCTCTGGAACGGCTGGACCAATTTTGATGAGACTTTCACTAATAGGTAGTTGATGATATAAGGAGTAACTTAGGCTACTTTCTTTAGACTAGCTTCGCCCCGCGGCGTCGCCCGCAGTTATTGTCGTACCACGCGCAACATTGTGGGACTCGCCTATCAATAATAAAATTTAATGATTCTGAAGCGAAGCGAGGGCGGGTCGCTAGTTTTTAATAAATTCCAAATTTTACTTATGTGAGTATTTCTATTAAAAGTGTTACATGAGTTATTCCATCCAATTTTATTCTGTTCTGAAATTGTTCTCTTTTTCTGGGCATCTTTTCTTCTGTAATTAATATAATTTTCAATAGTAGACTCTTTTCTATATAGTTTTAATGCATTATATGAGGCAATAACACTTTGCTCACATATACTATTCCATAAAGGAGATGGTGGTCTGCTTATGAAATTGCTTGTTTTAGTGAGCTTTGGAATTGAAATTTCTTTAAGAGTATCTAAATGAAAATAGAAGTTATTATAGGTTGAAATAGGATCAATCAAATCATAAAAATTTCTTTTTGAAAGAGCTGTGTATTGGGCAACAATCAGTTTTTTTATATATGAACCTATCTACAGGGGAATTGAGATGATATTTATCTTTATGTTATGAAATTCTCTGTTATTCTCTGTTATTGTTGGATAATGATAACTTTCCATTGTATCATCATGTACAGACAGACCATTCACATAGTGGTGCGAGGTTGCCACTGATGAAGCTTACATTAATGGCAGAAGCAGTTTGTCTAGGGTGATTTATAGTTGTAGGTCTACCATCATTTAAAATATATAAATCTGCCTTTTTTTTATTGCTTAGATGCTTGGACGAGCTCACAGCCCACCTGATGTTAAATGGTTACGGGAGCCCATACACATCTACAACGTAAATGCGCCACCCACCTTGAAATATAAGTTCTAAGGTCTCAAATATAGTTACAACGGCTGCCCCATCCTTCAAACCGAAACGCATTACTGCTTCACGCCAGAAATAGGCGGAGTGGTGATACCTACCCGCGCGGACTCACAAGAGGTCCTACCGCCAGTAATCAATTAAATTAAATAAATCCTGACCTCTACCTTTCGTTGACTGACAACTAAATGCAATATGGTGAGCATTAAAGTCACCACTCATAAATATGGGCTTTGGTAGATCATGAATAATGTAATGCAGTCTATTAATTACTCTACTAATCTAATACGCCTACTTGAAGGTGGACAGTATATACAGAGAATTGTTAAACCACTATGTCTAGTTGATACAAATACAGCAACTGTTTGAATGTCTTCATATAAAATCTGTTATTTAATATATTATACTTCAGGTATGGTTTTATCAGTATTTCAACTCCATTATATGCATTGTTTCAATTTTTGTTATAAATATTATATCCTGGTATTTTAAAATCATTGTCTTCGAACCATGTCTCATTAAGAAGGCAAATATCAATACTTTGTTGTTTAAAAATTGGACTGTAAAAGGTTTTTTACTTTTTGCACTTTGAATGTTATACTGCACAATACATAGCTCGGATTGTGTAGAACTAAGCCCTACACAATCCATTATGTTAAGTGTTTTAATAATGCATCTTTAATAGTTTTAATATTAGTGGGTGTCCTGTCATCTTTATTGGCTAATTCCACCAACGTCTGCACTAGGGCCATAAGTACATTATTGTTGGAAATTATTTGAGTTTTAAGGTCTTTAGAATGGACTATTTTAACTTTATTTGCATCTTGTAACTTTATTTGCATCTATTTTGTAGTCGTCGTGGCCTAACGTCCGGTGCATTCGTGTTGAAGCGATGCACCGGTGTTCGAATCCCGCAGGCGGGTACCAATTTTTCCAATGAAATACGTACTCAACAAATGTTCGCGATTGACTTCCACGGTGAAGGAATAACATCGTGTAATAAAAATGAAACCCGCAAAATTATAATTTGCGTAATTACTGGTGGTAGGACCTCTTGTGAGTCCGCGCGGGTGGGTACCACCACCCTGCCTATTTCTGCCGTGAAGCAGTAATGCGTTTCGGTTTGAAGGGTGGGGTAGCCGTTGTAACTATACTTGAGACCGTAGAACTTGTATCTCAAGGTGGGTGGCGCATTTACGTTGTGGATGTCTATGGGCTCCAGTAACCACTTAACACCAGGTGAGCTGTGAGCTCGTCCACCCACCTAAGCAATAAAAAAAAAAAAACTTGTACAGACTTATTTGCAGAGATATTTACAGACTTATTTACAATAACTATTTACAGGTTGTGGTTTTGGTGGTGGGAGTGGAGAGAAATCTGTTTCATTGTTGGTAACTTGTTTTGTTAAGGCGACACTTGCATAGGATTTGTTGTTTTTCTTTTCAATAATCTTCTTTGTTTTAATAGGACATAATCTAGATATCGCAAGATGAGGCCCACTACAATTTATGCAGCTGATTTCTGTTGGTTTATTACATTCTTTATACAAGTGCTCACCTCCTCAAATACTACATCTTTGTTTACCATTACAAATCTTTGCTGAATGATGAAATTTAAAACACCTATAGCACTGTAGTAATGGTGGGATGTATTCGAAAACTCTGTACGAGAATAGATCATGTTGTACATTATTAGGTAGTACATTAGATAAAAAGGTGATGCTTAGAGTCTGCAACGGAATACGGTCTTATCCTACTGTCTTTGAAAATCCTTCTTATTGCCACTATTTCATAAATTGAAGAAGTCTTGAGTAAAGTTCTTTGTTAGATGTATTCGCTGGAACAAATCTAATGATGCCGGTTTTTTCAATTTGCGCTTCCGGTATGAGCGTTCATTTCATATTTTGTGAGGAAAGTGGTGTTATTAATAAAATTATTGGGCGTATTATATTGCTTGAAAATAGCGGCTATTTTATTGGCATTCACCCTCTGAATATCCGTCACACCTTTTATGTCCATTGCGAAAATATGATTTAAATATATAGGGCTCTTGTTGCCTAATCTCTCGTCGTTAGTGGATTCCACGTACACTTTAAAGTCTGTGTTGATTGAGTTTTCCGGATATTATCTTTTGTAATTCGGTTTGTAGTAAAGCAGATACGCATCTCTCTCATCGCCGCAGTCCGACCGTCCAGAGCCTACGCCTTCTCCTTCATCCGTAGGCCGTGGCGGTTTTATTGAGGCAGGCGGGTGAGACCCGCCCGCCTCGTTTACCTCCATTGATATTGAGTTAATAGCAATATTTAAATTCACTTAAACTATAAAAAAATCACAATAGGAAAAAATTTTTAAGCACTGTAGGTATATGCATCTCGCCGTTTTTGTAATTATTTAAATCTTATCAATGATGACCAAAATAGTATTAATTCTAAAACTTCGCGACCATTTGTTTGTTGCATCTCTTTATCTAATTTCTCGCCAGGAAGTAGCTTTTTATAGCGTCTAAAATCTCTTTCATATTCACAAGAAATGGACAATTCTTCTCTCTACCTTTCAATGGGCGTTGTTCTCAAACTCATCAAAATTATTACGTATTTCGCCAATAAAATGTATTAGTACCTTAGAGAGTTCTATGACAACGGTAATGTCAATTTCCACAATCTGAAGCTTTTTACTTGTGGCGTTAATGCGATCCAGTAAACATCCCCAGAAAACAGTCATGTCGGCTGTTTCAAAACGTTCCAGTTTCAAACGAATACCTCTGGCTTCGCATATAATGGCTCTCTTCTGTTGTGTATAATTTTCGGTGGAAACTAACTCTTAATGGATTTCATTCCACGATTCGCGTAAACTTTTGTATGCGTCTGCACGAGCTGACCAACGAGTGCTTGATAAATTTTTGATAGTGAAATGGGTTTGAAGAAGTTTCTAACGCTGAGTTGATGCTGCAAAAAAACCCCGCCATACGTTATAATAAGTTTTTTGAGAAGATTGGGGCCACCCCTAAATCTGGCCGCCCTAGGCCCGGCCTACCAGGCCTTAGGGTAAATCCGCCACTGGGGCACTGTTCTGGATTGCTGGAGTGTAAGACACACAGACACAACGAACAAGTTTGAATAGCAAAGTTCTTGCGAAAACAGTATTTTTGAATAAATCGTTATTTTTTACTGTTGCGCGCGCGGTGCGAAGCGTCGACTCACTTCGTCTTCTTCGCCCGTTAGGAGGCGAGTTATAGATCTTCACAAAGCCGATAGATGGCGTGGTTGAGGAAAAGGGATTTTTAGTCGGTTTCCTAACACCAAATACTTCACTACATATTGCCAACAGATGGCTTAGATACTTCACTACATATTGCCATCTGTTGGCAATATGTAGTGAAGTATTTGGTGAAGTGGTCTACCAGAAGATATAGATATATTATTGTAGAGCAAGACCCACCAAATCCACCAGTGGTATCTATAGAGACAATTTCAAAAGAGTAAGTTGCTGGACCTAGATGATACATCAATCCATATTTAATTTAAGTTCTAGATTTATTTTTAATGCATATTTCACAGTTATCACAGATTTTTTTAATATTAAGTGTTAAATTATTTGCTGAATAGAATGGTTTGATCATATTTTCAGTTTGTCTTATTCCTATATGGCTTATTTTTGGTATCTGTTATTGAGGCTATGCGAATCACATTTGTTTTCGGATCTTCACGTGGTTTTACAACCAATTCAAATTCAAACTTTAGTCAATGTTGTTTTGTAATGAGTTGGATGATGAAACAAAAAACCAGGTTCAATGTACAAACTGATCTTTTTTTTAATAAATTTTACTGGCTTGGAAGCAACGTCCTTTAAGCCAAATCAGTATTTCTGTTTTTTTTCATCACTTCGTTTCACAATAATTATATTGAATTCAATGTGTTTTAATGAATTTGCAATATGAATGAAGTTTTAAATATCGCATATATCACTCGCGAAACAAGCAATGAGGTTGAACAATTGAACA